TTCTTGGTTGAGGGGACAGCAGGAGATGGGGTGGTGAAGAGGTGGAGTGGGTGGCCGGCGACAAAGGGTGGTCGTTTTAGGGTGGCGGTTGTGGTGTTTTGTGTTGTTAATGCACGGTCAACTCACGTGCTACGCGGACAACTCACGCGCTATGGTATTAATATCCTTAAAACCAGGCCCTCGGCCTTACTCAATCATGTACCTTACTAGCCTCACCATCATCAACAAATAAGGGGACACAGCCCACATCAAGTATCACAACATATCAGAAAAATAATAGAGACTGAGGTAAACATGTACAATAATTTCTATGCTGATTACAAATAATGTGAGCATGAATAAAGCCTAAGCATGATCTATACTATGAAGGCAGATAATTTTAACAACAAGCAACTACGTAAACACAGATGATGGCCATGAGGCTCCACGGGACGGACCAAGTCTCAATCCCTCGAGGTATACACCCACACGCCCGTCACCTAGCATGGGTATCACCTCCAAACAATCACATGATATCAAATTCTCCGGGTTTATACCCTCAAAGCCAGAGTTAAAACTGTTACTTACCTCAACAGCGTAAAATCCTACTCCGGGATGTCCTCGTCCCTCGACTCGGTCTCCAAAAGCTTCAAATCTAACCATGATCAGAATACTACTATCAACATAGTCTAAAGAATCGAATTACACAATAAAAACTACATAAACATGCCAAAAATCCGAAATCGACCAAAACCCGGCCCCCGGGCCCACGTCTCGGAATTAGTCAAAAATGGCATAATAATAATCGTCGTCCTCTCCCGAGTCTAACCATATAAAATTTGTCAAAATCGGACTCCGTTTGGTCCCTCAAATCCTCACTTAAAACTCTCCAATACTCAAACCCTAGCTCCCTCAATTACACTTTGAAATCATCAATCAAATCCCAAAAACGAAGATGGATTCATAAGTTATAATCAAATTCGAGTAGAGAACACTTACCCCAATCCATATGGTGAATATCTCCTCCAAAATCGCCCAAATCCGAGCTCCACAACTCAAAATATGAACGAATGAACAAACCCTAGTTTTATATATTTTTTTGTTAGTTATTTTGCCTCGTTTCTCGAGCCAAACGATCCCGAAACTCATATTTTATACCTCCAATGGATTCCTTGTGAAATTCTAGTCAAGTTAGGCTTTTGAATCACTCAATTTGACCTTATAACGAAGGAGATATGTAGGTTTTAATATTTGCAAATAGTGTAGATTTTTAAATACGCCGTCAGTGGCAATTTCGTAATTAATCTGAAAAATCTGGCAACCTTATTCTTAGTAAAATAACCATAAAATCCTCATACGATGTCCAAATTCGACGATTCTTTTTGCTATAGGTCCGTAATTACAATACGGATATAATGCTTCAATCAAAAAGAAATTATAACTTATTTGTTAAATATGATATCATTTATGCTTGAAGAAACGACGTCGAAACATAAGAAAAACGAGCGCAACACAACCCAAACCTATCCGAAACACCCGAGGCCCTCGCGACCTCAACCAATAATTCCAACAAGTCATATATCACTACCCGAACTTAGTCGAACCTCCGCAATACCCAAAACAACACCAAATAAACCTCGAATTCAAGCCTAAGAACTTCTAAACTTCCAACTTTCGCCAATTCAAGCCTAGTTCTACCACAGACCTCTAAATTATATTTCGGACACACTCCTAAGTCTAAAATCACCCAACAAAGCTAATCGAATCATAAAAATCCAAATCCGAATTCTTTTACTCATAAGTCAACTTCCGGTTGACTTTTCTATCTTAGCTTTCTAATTAAGAGACTAAGTGTTCATTTCACTCCAAAACTACTCCAAACCCAAACCTACCAACTCGATACAACTCAAGACAGTTGAACAACATATAAAGAACCATAGATGGGGGAAATGTGGCTATAACTCTCAGAACGAACGATCGGGTGGTTACAGAAAAACGATAAACAAATAACCAACAAAACAATAAATAAGGCAAACAAACCAAATAAAAAAAATCAAATAAAGAAAATAAACACCTCAACCGAATATCCTAAAAGCCAACAAGATCAAGTATCAGCTCGAACCTGCAACTCCCCAGCAGAGTCTCTTGAGCTGCCACACCCCTTTTTTCACCTCACTAAACCTCTTAAAAATAATAACAAGATTTTTGAAGTTCAAAAAGGGTTTCAATTGTGAAAAGTTACAAAAAGATTGTGTTTCGAAGGATTTTTCAGAGTCGTCACTCGACATAGTTTGATTCGGTGTGTAGAGTCACCATTTTTAAATAAATGGATTTTCCTTTTCAAACACATTTGACTCTAAAACTGAGAGAAATTGATTAAAGCAAGGAGTGAAATAATGTCAAATTAGGAGGAGAAAGAGAAATGGACCTCAATTAAAGTAAGAACTTCTCCAATTTTAATTAACCTCAAGCAAGATGTACCAAATAATCCGATCTAGCCGTCAATGAAACAATGAATTCCAATTGAAATATGACCAAAAAAAGAATAAACCACGTTCGGAGCTAGGATCCGCAACCTCGAACGAAGACCTCTACTAAACTCTAACTCAAGAAATCAATAATTTGTTTTGTGGGTGTTAATTAGTGCTTTTGGAAAAAGGTTTGTGAGCAGCATTAACGGAGTTTTCTGGCGAAAGAACATTGACCGGAGGTGGTCTACATAGTGTGATTTTTGGTTAATGGAGATGTAATTTTAGTGCAAAATTGATGAAGAGGATGAGAGTATTTGGGGACTGATTTCTATGGAGCAAATTGTTCCTCTTCTTCTTATTACTGTGTGTGTGTGTGTGTGTGTGTGTCGCGGCTGTAGGGTTTTGGAGAGGAGGTTGAGGGTGTCGTTGGGAGATCGAGAAGGGTAAGGTGTGCTAGGTTTCGAGCAGTTTTTTGTTGAGGGTGGAGTGGCGGCCTTTTCTTTGGTGGTGTGCGTGGTGGAATGCGGATTTTGGCGGAGTTGTTGGTGGTAGAGGGTCTTGGAGAGGATGACGCGGCTGGTTTAGGTTAATGGAGGTTCGCTGATGTTTTCTTGGTTGAGGGGACAGCAGGAGATGGGGTGGTGAAGAGGTGGAGTGGGTGGCCGGCGACAAAGGGTGGTCGTTTTAGGGTGGCGGTTGTGGTGTTTTGTGTGGTCAAGAAGAAGGGTTTTTTTCCTAGGTTAATGAAGGGGTGGATTGCTGATGCCTCTAAGGTTTTTTTAGGGGTTAGTGGAATTAGGTCGCTTTTTAGGAAAGTGGGGGTATGTGCTAAGGGCTTAATTCCGAAAATGGGCCTAAAGAATGGATTATTTTCGCCTAAATTTGACTCTTTCTCATTGAACAAGACTAAAAATATTACCCACATATACTAATTAATCCTACTTAAGTAGAAATAACTATTAAAATAAACTAACTGTTAAAACAAACCTATTTTTGGTTTTTTTCAAATATCATACTAATAATAAAAACTGTACTCCCTCCGTTCCGGTTTATGTGAACCTATTTCTTTTTTGGTCCGTTCCAATAAGAATGACCCCTTTCTAAATTTGGAAACAATTTAGCTTAAACTTACAATTCTACCCTTAATGAGAAGCTTTTATAACCACACAAATATTCTGGTGACTTGTTTAGGACCACAAATTCCAAAAGCCTTCATTTTTTCTTAAACTCCGTGCCCGGTCAAATAGGTTCACATGAATTGGAACAGAGGGAGTACTAAATTAAAATTATCGCAAAATTAAAATAATATTCCTTCCAAAAAATACTAATATTTTTTAAAAACAAAGTGGAACTATTTTTGTATTTTTTTTTAATTTTATGAAAGGTATATAAACTAAAAGTAACTAGATAAAATATCAATTAGATAAATAAAAGACTTTTTCTTTTGTAATTTTCATTGTTGTGATAAAATAAAGTAAAAGAGTCAAAACTAGTTAAAATAGCGATACTAGACCTAAACTAAATATTTAAACGCAAAAAATGTGCAAAATTTCGGGGAGGGTCAAAAATCACATGTCTACAAATAATACTCCCTCCGGTCTACTTTAATTATTTTTTTTTGCCTTTTTTTCGGTCCATAATATTTAATTTTTCTGATATCAAGGAGGAATTAGTCTATTTTTCAAAGTTGCCCTTCGAGTAAAGAGTATCAGAATATCTACTATATTTCCAATAAATAAATTAAAGAGAAAATAATGGTTAATATGGTCAATTTTACTATTAATTAATGTTAAAAAATATATTTCTTAACATGTGTAAAAATAATCAAAAATCAATTAAAGTGGACATGAGAAAGTATTATGTTTGGCTAGAAGGGATTAAAAAAACTAATTTAAGTATAACTTATGCGGCTTTTGGTTGGTCATATTGAAAGAAATAACTCACGTATAATTTATTGCAATGTTTATGTATTAAGTAACTTGTGCATTATTTTATGTAACAACACATACATTAATTAGCAATTAACACTGCAAGGATTAAAAGTATGTACAAATATATTGAAACGACGTTAAAGTAAGTAATTCATATATAACAATCTCTTGATTATTATTCACCAGACAAATAATCATTTTTTTTTTTGTAATTAGTCAAATTTTATTTACCAAGGGAAAATATGTACAAACAAATCAAAACCCCTAAAGCTGGACAGCCCCAACTTTAGCACAACTATCTCCTTAAACTCCCCCCATCCCTTTTTACAACATGTTTCCAATTAAACCTAGGGGTAATAGTTCATATTTGTCAAAACTCCAGCTGTCCTACTATTCCATTGTCCTCTTCAATGTATGTCTTGTACTAGCAATTTACAGAGGACTGCAACAGTTCTTTCTTTGCCCAAGAAAGTCCTTTGGTTCCTCTCTTGCCACAGAAGTAGATACAACCAGCCATCACCATCCTAAATATACCAGCTTTTGCATTTTTTGCTTTAGCATGATTGATTGCGCAGTTAACTTCTTGACTCCATCCCATAGGTAATCTGTTGATGCCTTGCTAGTTGAGCAATTTGGTCCATAATTCTGCAGAGAACTTGCAGCTGAAGAACATATGTTCTATGGATTCATCTTCAGTGTTGCATAGAGGACACTCTAAGTTTGTTACTACACCACACTTAAGCAGTCTGTCCTTTGTATATATTCTCCCAAGAGCTACCAGTTGCAAGATAAAAGTCCATTTGTTGCATCCAGGATTATTACACACTAGTCTTCTCCAGCTAATCTTGTGGAAGTCACCTCTTAACCTGTGATAGAACTTCTTAATTGAGAACTGAGTAACATCCATCAGATCTTCATATGTGTAGCCAGCCGCTTCAACAGTCTCCTTTGCCTTAAACACCTTGCTCACCATCCAAGAAGCATTTCTAGGTTTAATCTCCCACAAGTGATTTCTCTTCACATAGTAGTTATGGACCCACTTGATCCATAATCTGTCTTTTTTCTTGCATAGATCCCATAAGTGTTTGCATATAGCAGCCTTATTCCATATATGGATATCAATCACATTAAAACCTCCAGCTGATTTGGGATAGCAGACTTTGTCCCATGAAACTAATGCCTTTCTAGTTATCTCGTTTTCCCCTGTCTAGAGAAATCTTTTACACACCGCTTCAATTTGTTGTATGATCTTTTTTTGGCATGATAAATATCTGGCACCAAAACGTTTGCATAGAGAAAAGAATACTTTTTATCAGTTGTAGTCTTCCCGCATAGGACAGAAATTTTGAAGTCCATGAAGTGATTCTTCCTACCATTCTGTCTACTAAAGGCTGACATTGTGAAACTGATAATCTTTTAGTACTGAGGGGCACTCCAAGATATCTTACTAGTAGTTCACCTTTAGGGATTCCCAAATCTTCCATAATTTCCTTCTTCTCATTATCAGAAACTCCATCAAAGAAGATGGAACTTTTATGCTTGTTGACTGTTAAACCTGAGGCATGGGAAAATTGCAGAAAACAGTCATATAATAATTTTACTGATCCTCTATCACCCGTGCAAAACAATAGAAGATGATTGGCAAACCCAAGCTGCACTATTTGCATTTTATCACATCTGGGGTGATAGTTAAAATCAGGTATTTTCCTTAAGGTCTTCAGGTTTCTGGTTAGGTATTCCATTGCTAATACAAAGAGAAATGGCGACAAAGGATCTCCTTGTCTTAGTCCTCTCCTGGCATCAAAAGGTGGTGTTGGTTTTCCATTCAGTAGGATAGAATAAGACACTGTATTGACACAGCTTATAACCCATTTTACAAACATATCCAGGAATGCCATACCAATTAGAATTTGTTCTAGAAATACCCACTCAAGAGAATCGTACGCTTTTTGCATATCCAACTTTATTGTGCATCTTGGTGAAATTCCTTTTCTTCCATAACCCTGAACCAATTCATGGCTAAGTATTATATTATCTGTGATCATCCTGCCTGGCACAAAAGCCGACTGGCAATCGTCCACCAAATCGTTCATAACTGTCTGTAGCCTCTTCGTTAAGATCTTAGAAATGAGTTTGTATACTGTAGTGCAGCATGAAATAGGCCTATATTCTTTTATGGATGCTGGATTTTTTACCTTTGGAATCAGTGTTACTGAAGTGCAATTCACAGCTCTAAACATAGTAGCAGTCTTGAAGAAATCTAAGACAGCTTCTGTAACCTCATCCCCTATAATTATCCATGCTTTTTTTAAAGAAGAAAGCATTTAATCCATCACAGACAGGGGCTTTCATATCATCTATATCCAATAGAGCATGGTAGACTTCATCTCTGGTAATTGGTCTGATCAAATCTTTCTATTGTTCCCTATTCAGTGCAGGACCTTGTTTCATAACAATAGGATTAATAGCAGGTAATGTAGAATTTGCTGTCCCAAGTAGCTTCTTGTAAAATTCTTTGGCTTCGTCTTTTATTTATGCTTCAGAATTAATTATATCTCCTTGAGTTTTTGTCAAACTTATAATATAATTTTGGGAACATCTACTCTTCATATTTGCAAAGAGATAAGCCGAGTTTGAATCACCTTCCTTTAACCATTTAACTCTAGACTTCTGCCTGTAGATGCTTTCTTCAATCACTCCCCATTTCTCTAATTGTTTCTTGAGCACTTTTTCTTCCTCAATTAAGATATCATCCTGGATAGATTGTCCTAGCTTCTCCTGAACTTCATTCAACTGCTTTCTTATTTGTTTCAGCCTTCTATCCACTCCATGAAATTGTTCAAAATTGAGTTTCTTCAACCCTTGTTTAATCCGTTTCAGGTTATTTCACACTTTTTTCATGTGGTTTCCTTCAGTATATATATGCCAACCTTCCTCTACTACTGTTAAGAATTGTTTATGCTTGGCTATGCAATTGAAAAACCTGAATGGTTTTCCTCCTCTATCGGTTTGTCCAGCAAAGTTGATCCTCAAAGGAGACTGATCAAAAATATGTGGGTCTAATATATGGACTATCAATGTTGTCATATTATTCAACCATGCTGCATTTACTATAGCTCTGTCGATCCTGCTAAAAGTATGGTTATTTGTCCAAGTATAATTCCTACAGATAGTTTGCAGTTCTACCAAGCCATTATCCACCATGAACTCCCTAAAGTCCCTTGTTTCATAATCTTGAACTTGTGTCCCATGTAATCTGTCCTCCTGACTCAGCACAACATTGAAATTGCCCATGGCAATCCATGGTCCCTGTTGTGAATTTACCAATATCTGGAGTTTACCCTATAAGCTTCTTCTGTCTTGAATTGTGTGAAGCCCATATATAGCAGTAAAAGCAACGTCAAGCTTCAGTTCAAAGATTCTTACTTGACCATGTATATATTGTGCATCCATTTCAATTAATGTAACCTCCAAAACTCTAGGATCCCAAACTAACCAGATTCTCCCTTTATTATTCATACTATAGTTTGATATCCATTTCCACCCGGGAACTATTTTTTGGATTATCTTTGTCTAATTTTGTGCTGCTACTCTATGTTCTAGGATGGCAAGTAGATCCATTTTATTCTCCTTAATAGCTACTTCCAACTCCTTCTGCTTGTATGCCTTATTCACCCCTCGCACGCTCCATGTAAATAAATTCATGTTGGAATGAATGAAGAACTTGCCAACCCCTCAAAACCTCTATTACTACAACTCTCATCTTCAGCAATTCCTTTATAGTAATCAGTAACACATTGATTATAGTCCTCTGCTCTACCATTAGTACTACTAGTTCCTGCGAGTTGATTCTTTGTTATAGTCAGAAGATTAAAGTCATTACTTATGTCAATGCTTCTCTCTTCAATTGTGGTTGCTTTAATAGGTTTAGCAGCTGATTTGCGTGTAACCATTTGCCACCCCTCTCCCTGCTTCAAACCAGGATCTTCCTCTGCCTTCTCTTTATTCATTTGCTTTGGTTGGACATTAACAGGTGCAACATTCACTGTTACTCCTGTTTCCTTATTCCTCCAAACTAGCTTAGGTCTTTCATTTCTTCTTCTCGTGGGGGGAATTTGGGGTTTTTGGTTATTTTCAAGAGCACAAATATGCCCAATTTTTAGGCAAGTAACACAGTAATCAGGTTCCCATTCATATGCAACCTCCTGTTCAAACGCTCTACCATTAGGATCTTGTACTTTAACACTTTTCGGCAAGGGTCTTGTAACATCCATCTCCACAAGTAGTCTAGCATATGATATTCTAGCAGAGCTAGTTGTACAGTCATCCGCATATAGAGGGTTGCCAAGCGCACTACCAATCTTGCTAAGAGACTTCATGGTCCAACGATTAAGAGGCAAGTTTGGTAATTTAATCCATAATGGAATAGTATTTAAAACTTCCTCGTATAGATTGAAATCCGGAGTCCATGCTTTCATTATTACTGGTCGGCTGTTAATAGTGTGAGGCCCCGAGTACAATACCTTATTTCTCTCCTCCAAGTTCTGGAATCTAATCACAAAGTAATCTTCATTATGGTAGTAAATTTGTGGCTTCACTGCAAATTTCCACTGTGACACCAGAAACCTTTCCATGGCTCCTATTGTTGGAGATTCTCCAATAACATATAGGACTATAGCTGTGCTCCACTTCTCATTCTCAATGTCTTCTGGATCAAGCTGAATAGTAAGTTTTCTCAATATGTGGTTTTGTTAAAGTTTCTCAAATCAGCTTCTTTACATTAAAATTCGAGTAACAATTAAACTTATAATGTGGTTTTAAAGATGTGTGATTTAATCCAATACCAATTAATAAACAAGGAGTTAAATATGTAAATTGAAGAAGTAAAGCAAATCAAACCAATGTGAAAGCCAAGGCTTGACCTCGAGTTATGGTGGCCTCGAGGTAGGTTAGTAAGAACAATAAAATAATAAGGCAACTCTAATGAACAGTAAGCAAGAAAGTGAAGAATGTGTATTCCTTTGTCAGTGAATCGTCTGTTACAAATGAATGACATCCCCTTTATATAGTAGGGGAATCCTAAACAAGGTAAACTTCCAATTATAGTAGGAAATCTCATTATATAGCTGTCTAACCGCCAAGTACAAATCCATTCCGGAATTTATGCCGGGATCTTCGGGTGTAACGACCCGACTGGTCGTTTTGAGCAACTGCGTCCGGTTCGGTAGTTTAAGGTCACGAGCAGTTTCATATTTTTTGTATCGACTTGCATGCATATTAGATTCTATTTTCGGACGAATCAAAGTCGAATTGGAAGAAGGAATGTAGTTTTGAAAGCTTAAACGGTGAGAGTTTTACCGGAATTTGACTTTTGAATAAGCCCGGAATGAGTTTGGATGATGTCAGTAGCTTTGTATGATGATTTTGGACTTAGGCGTGCATTCAGATTTGGATTTGAAGGCCTGTAGGGTAATTTGAGGCATTTCGGCGAAAGTTGGAAAAGTTGAAGTTTGGAAAATGGAGAGGTTTGACCCATAGTTGACTTTTGTGTTATCGAGGTCAGAATGCGATTCCGAAAGTTGGAACAGCTCCGTTATGTCATTTGGGACTTGTCTGCAAAATTTAGTGTCGTTTGGAGTTTTTGATATGGTTCGGACACTTGATTGCAATTCTAGAAGTTCTTGAAGTTCATAGTGATTTTCATGCGTTTTGGCATACGATACGTGATTCTAGAGGTTATTTTGATGTTCCGATCGAGCGAGCGAGTTCGTGTTGTGTGTTCAGACTTGTGCAGGTGTTTAGTTTGGAGCCCCGAGGGCTCGGGTGAGTTTCGGAATGGTTTTGGAATAGCTCTCATGAAATTAGATTTTTCTGGTTCTGGTTTCTTCGCATTTGCGATGTTCTGGTCGCATGTCATGACCCAAACCGATGGGCCACGACGGGTGCCTGAGTCCTGCCTGTCAAACACTCCTAAGCATGCGTCTAAGATATAAACCTGAATAACATCTGCTGAACTTCGAGAATAGTGTACATGAAGGAAATCTGCCCAAAAGGGCATACATACGTATACGTGCAACATACGTAGGGCGAGCCGACAAGGCTGCTATAGACAACTATACATCTCAAAACTAGAAGCCGGCAAGTCCACATGCTATCCAACTGGACATATTGTCTCTAGACCTCTAATAGAAATATAACTGTACAAAGACGGGACTGAGCCACGTCATGACCATATATATATATATATATATATATATATATGTATGTATGTATGTATGTATGTATATCGTACCAAAATCAAAAGCAGCTCCGGGTCAAGTAGAGCACGCCAATTCTCGCTGATCAGGTGTCCTAAGAAGGGGGACCGTCAGCTTGCCTACCTGCGGGCATGAAATGCAGGCCCCGTGAAATAGGGCGTCAGTACAAAAAATGTACTGAGTATGTAAGGCATGAAAATTTGTACCTAAAAGGCATAGATGAAACACGGAATAAAGAGATCAATCTATAAATGTGAATAACTTTGTAAATTCTTGTGATGACCCAAAAGGTCATCACTTGTTTTAGAAATAAATTCTGTGTTCAGAGGCCTTAAAACCTCCATTTAGTCTCACCTCGATTGCGTGCGCAATCCGGGCACGTATCCGGAAAGCCATTATGTGAAAATCTATGAAAAATAATAAATTTTGCTTTTAACTTAAGTTGACTTTGGTCAACATTTTAGGTAAACGGACTCGAACTCGTGATTTGATGGTCCTAGAGGGGGCGTATGCCCGGAATTGAATTCCGAGGTCCCAAGCCCGAGAAATGAATTTTTGAAGAAAATTGTTTTCTCGAATATTTATGAGTTTTTGGAAATGAAATGTGTTTGAAATTTGATGGTATCGGGCCCGTATTTTGGTTCCGGAGACCGGTACAGGTCTTATATTTTATTTAAGTTGAGCCTGTAAAATTTGGTAAGAATCGGAGATCATATGACGTGATTCAGACCCTTAGTTGTAAAATTTGAAACTTTGAAAGTTCTTGAGATTTTCTTGATTTTGATGTTAAATTCATAGTTGTTGATGTTAGTTTGGTGATTTGAATGCACGAGCAAGTCCGTATGATATTTTTGGGTTAGTGTGCATGTTTGGTTTGGAGCCCCGAGGGCTCGGGTGAGTTTTGGATAGGCCGCGGAGTGAAATTTGGACTTAGGAATTGCTGGTATGTTGCAGAACTGCAGGCTTCGCTGGCTCGCAAATGCGAGCTATGTGTCGCAAATATGATGTAATTGTCGCAAATGCGACATCGCAAATGCGAAGGCAGTGTCGCAAATACGAAGAGGGCTGGAATCCTCAGGGTTCACGAATGTGAACCCCTGTTCGCAAATGCGATATTAGCAGGTTCTGAAGGGTTCGCAATTGCGAATCCTGGTCGCAATTGCGACATCAGAGACCAGTTAATTGACACTTAGACGTATTTTCAGCCATTTTTCATATCTTCTCAAAACATAAACTCTCTTCGGTGATTTTCCAAAGAAAAGTTCTTCTCCAAATCGATTGTAAGTCGTTTCTAACTCGTTTTCTTCAATCTTTAACACCTTTTCACATGATTTCAACTCAAAATCAAGGGTTTTCATGGGGGAAATTGGGTGTTTTGGGTAGAACCTAGGTTTTTCAAATTTTGGGAATTTGGATCTCGATTTGAAGTCCGATTTCAAAACAAATTATATATTTGAGATCGTGGGTGACTGGGTAATCGGGTTTTGGTTCGAACCTCGGGTTTTTACCATGTGGGCCCGGGGTCAATTTTTGACTTTTTAGGAAAAACTTTAGAAAATCTATTTTTCATGCATTAGAATTGATTTATCTAGCATTTATTGATATAGTTAAGTAACTTGTAGCTAGATACGAGCGAATTGGTGGTGGAATCATAAGGTAAAGTGGTAGTTGAGGCTTGAATTGTGTTCTTGGCATCGAGGTAAGTGTTTGGTCTAACCTTAGCTTGAGGTATTAGGAGTCGTGTCCTATTTGCTATGTGTTAATTGTTGAGTATGACGTATAGGCATGGTGACGAGTATCTATACATTAGTGTCAAGCATGCACATGAGTCTTATACTATGATTAATGTGATTCCTTTTTGTATTTTTCATGCCTTATGTGATATTACCATTGTTGAACAAGGCTTGTGGAAGTAAATTGAGTAATTGAACATTTAAGAGTATTGGCTCCAGTTGTGAATTGATTTGTGAAAGTATCATGGGTATTTGAACATTGTAGAGCGCTGACTCAAGTTGTGAATCGAAATTGTGAAAGTAT